GTGTTGAACTTTGTCAAATGCCTTCTCTGCATCTATTGATATGATTATGTGGTTTTTATTTTTCTGTCAGTTGATATGGATTACTTAATTGATTTTCTGATGTTGACCCATACTTGTGTTCCTGGGATAAAGCTCACTTGGTCATGATGTATTTTTTTTTAAAAAGATTTATTTATTTATTTGTACAGAACTGGGGTACAGGCCAGAGATGCGGAGGGTGAGAGGATTCTCCAGAGACAGAATGGGGTACAGAACAGGCAGATAGATAGGATAGATAGACGAAGTACACTGCTGAGGGGAGCAGCGGGCAGGTCAGGAGAGGTCTGCCTTGCCATGTGGATCTCCTCTGGGGCAGGCAGGAATTGAACTCATGTGGAAGTGGCTTAAGCTTTTTTGTGCTGTGCTTTAACCCGCTGCGCCACCAGGGAGGGCCAATGTATTATTCTTTTAATGCATTGTTGGATTCTGTTGGCTAAGATTTTGTTGAGGATTTTTGCATCAGTGTGATGTTGGCTTCGTAGAAAGTATGTGGTAGTTTCCTTCTTTTTTGATTTTTTTGGATGAGCTTGTAGAATAGGCACTAGATCTTTTCTGAATGTTCAGTAAAATTCATTTGTAAATCCATCGTCTTGGGCTTTTATTTTGGGGGAGGGTTTTGATTATTTCTTCTATTTCCTTGCTTGTAATTGGTCTGTTTAGTTGTTCTATTTCTACTTTATCTAGCTCTGGGTGGTTGTAGAGTTGTAGGAATTTGACTGTTTCTGCTAAATTGTCGAACTTGTTTGCATATAATTGTTCATAGTATTGTCTAATTATTTTGATTTCTTCTGGATCTGTTGTGATTTCTCCTCTTTCGTTAATGATTCTGTTTATTTGTGCTTTCTCTTGTTTTTTCTTTGTGAGCCTGGCTAGTGACCTGTCTATCTTGTTTATTTATTTATTTTTTTTGAAGAACCAACTTTTGGTTTCATTGATGTTTTTGGACTATTTTTCTAACTTTCATCTCATTTATTTCTGATTTGACTTTTATTTTGTCCTGTCTTCTACTGGCTTTGGGGTTATTTTTTTGTTCTTTTTCCAGTTCTTTAAGGTGGGAGATTAGGTTGTTTCTTTGAGTTATTTCTTGTTTCTTTATGTGAGCCTGTACTGCTATATATTTTCCTCTTATAACTGCTTTTAATGTGCCCCATAAGTTTTGGAGACTTGTGTCGTCATTGTCGTTCTTCTCCAGGTATTTTTTAATTTCTTCTTTGATCTCCTTTTTGATTCAGTGGTCCTCCAGTAGTGTGGGTTTCTGTTTCCATGTATGTGGGTTTCTAACCTTCTTCATATGGTTTATTTCTTCTTTGATTCCTTCATTGTCAGAGAAGGTAGTTGGTATGATTTTTTTTTTATTACAAAGTTGGTATGATTTTGATCTTACTATATCTATTGATGTTTATCTTGTGACCCAGTATGTGGTCAGTCCTAGAGAATGATCCATATGGACTTAAGAAAAATGTGTATTCAGAGTTTCTGGAGTGCAGTATTCTATAGATGTCTGTTAGACCTATGTTGTCCAGGTTCTTGTTTAGAGCTTTAGTGTCTTTGCTTATTTTTTGTCTTGTTGACCTGTCCATTATTGACAGTGGCGTGTTGAAGTCTCCTACTATGTATATATTTTCTCTGATATATGTTTTCAGAGATGACAAGTTTCTTGATATATTTTGGTGGTCCTTTATTTGGTGCATATGTGTTGATGATTGTAATGTCTTTTTGCTGTATTGTCCCCATAATCATAATGTAGTGGCCTTCCGTGTCTCTTTTTACCTTTTTTTAGTTTGAAGTCAATTTTATCTGATATAAGTATAGTTGTTCCTACCTTCTTTTTGATTCATTTACTTGTAGGATTGTTTTCCATCCTTTTATTTTCAATCTGTTTTAATCTTTTGTGGTTAGATGTATTTTCTGCAGACAGCAGAACGTTGGGTTCTGTTTTTAAATCTATTCTGCAACTCTGTGTCTTTTTATTGATGAGTTTAAGCCATTTACCATTTACATTTAGTGATAATATTGATAATATTGATGTACTGGCACCTACATTTCCCTTTCTGGGGGGGGGTCCTTTTGTATTTTTATTTCTTGTTTTGAACTGTTCTTGTTCAGTCTTCTGTTGGATTTGGTTTGAGGGCTTCTTGTATTTTTTGGAGTGGGGGTTTAGTCTTGACGAAATTGTGGAGTTTCTGTTTGTCTGAGAATGTCCTTATTCTTTCTTCGTAGAGGAAGGAGAGCTTCACAGGGTAGAGTATTCTTGGTTGGCATTTAATGCTTTGGAGGTTGTTGAGTATGTCCCTCCACTCTCTTCTTGCCCATAGTGTTTTTTTGGAGATGTCTGATGTCATCCTAATCGGTTTCCCTTTATAGGTTATTTGTTTCCTGCCTTTTGTCATTCTCATTATCTTTTCCTTGTCTTATATTCTTGGTAGTTTTACTGTGATGTATCTTGCTGTCCTATCGTCATAGTAGTTTGGTGTTCTTGCTTCTTGGATGTCTGCTTTCATCTCCATCTTCATATTAGGGAAGTTCTCTTCTATTATCTCTGCGAATATTTTCTCGATTCCTTAGCCTTTCTCTTCACCTTCTGGGATACCTATAACTCTGGTGTTTCCTTTCCTAATGGTGTCAGATAGCTCTTGAACTGTTTCTTTATTCCTTTTCCTTTTTACTTCTATTTCTGTTTATTTCTGAGTCTTCAAGGGAGCTGATTCATTCTTCATTTCATCTATTCTGTTTTCATTATTCTTTATCTCCCCTAGTAACCTTTTCATCTCCTGCATTTCTTCTATTTCCTTTTTTAATGTCCTATTTTCTTTCTTCAGTTTGTTGATTGCTTGTCTCATATCTTTTTTTTTTCTTTTTTATTTCTTTCATTCATTTCCTTGTTTGCATTCTTCAGCTCCTTGATGGCTTACCTCGTATCATTTTTTTCCCTTCTCATCATCTTTTTGTTTGCTTATCATGTTGATTCTGAATTCTCTATCTGGTAGGCTGAACGGTTCTTCTATTTCTTTGGTGACTTCTGGTGACTGATCTTTTTGTGGTGAATTTTTACTCTGTGGACTTGCTGGAATATTTGTTTGTCTTCTTTTCCCTTTCATGCATTTTCTAATACTTTCTATTCGTTGAGAGACAGTGTTGCTATTATTGCCTGACATTCTTTCTGGATGTTCTTTCTGGGATGGCAGAGGGACTTCCACACATTTTAGTTGTGGAGGGTATTCTGAGCCTTGTTTTGTTTCACTGTCTCCTGTTTTTCTAACCCCCACTATGTGGAATTGTGTCTGTCAATCTCATCCAGTGATAGTCAGTGGTCTCTTGTGGTGTTCAGCTTCTTCCAGTAACACATTGAGTCCTTGTCTCTGAGAGGTACCTGTTGATCTTTGTAACCTTCCAGTGTCCCGGGTTCCCTCTATGCTTGGATGTGACCATGGTGGGTAGGGCGCATTAGAAGTGTTGTAGGTCTTCCTGCAGCTTGGTCTGTGGTTGGGCCAGTCACTGGTTTTGTTTATTTTCTGAGCACTGTGAACCTTGCAAGGCAGTGCCTTACTGGCTCACAAGTCTTCAGGCCACTGCTGTCCAGTAACACTTTGAGCTCTGTCTTCTGCTGTGGGGGGTGGAGGGTGCAGGGGTCAGGGAACACCAGAAGGACTGCCAGCCTTCCAGCTGTGCAGGCTACAGTTCCTTCCTCAGTGCTTCCAGGGCTCTTTGTGCTCACTATGAGCAGTCTCTCCCTGAGCAGTCTTTTCCTACTGCTTGGAGTCCACTCACAGAGCAGAATTGTTTCTCTTTAACTCCAGGGTTTTACTGTATGTTTTGTGGTTATATGTGGTGAGCAGGTAGAGCAGGAGCAAGTCTCCTGTCTGCAAGCACTTCCTAGGGCCTCTGTATGCTAGGATGTGCCCTTTGAGGGTTGGGAGAGTGTTAAAAGTGTTGAAGCCTTCCAGGGTTGGGCCTGTTTTTGATTCAGTCTAACCGGTTCTTCTTCTTTTTTCCCCCCACCCCCCCTTATATCTCTGGGACTTTGTGAACTTGCTGACCCTGCCTTAGTGACTAATGGCGGGAACAAGCCTCCAGGCCTATGCTGTGGGGGCGGGTCAGGGAGCTCTGTAAGAGTTGCAAGCCTTGCAGCTGCCCCAATCTCCATTTCCTTCTCCCCACCTCCTGGACTCTATGTGCCCACTCCGAGCATTCTTTCTCTGCAGCTTGGGTTCCACTCACCTATCTGAGGGGTTTAACGGGGTCTAAATAAGCAGCAAGTCTCCTGTCTGAGGCACTTCCTAGCGCCTGGGCACCTGGGTGCTCCTGGGCCAGATTTCCCCTATAGGAACTCCCCAATTGCCAATTCTCCCTCAGTTAATCTTCCTTCTAGTGAGTCCAGGATGTTTTTATTTGGGTTGAAACTCATAGTATATAAATCTGCAGTCCGTTTTTAGTCTAATATTCCTGTGTGAGCTTGGACATAGTGATTTCGTTGTCTTCACTCTGCCGCCATCTTGCCAGATCACTGATAACCCTTGGTTTAAAGGACTTAAATTTCACCCCAGTCTCCTAGATTGAATTGATACACTTTTGTGGGCATAGAAAGAAATCATAAAATTATTTTTCATGTAGAAGTAAATGGCATTAATAAAGAACACTTTTGTGATTTGTTTTGGAAGAGAGTTCATGGAGTGATTTTTAAACTAGAAAGTTCTCATCAACCATAGTAAGTAATTAGCTTCTTTCTTAATCAAAATTGTACTCACCTTTTACTTTCATAGTTCTTTAATTTTAGGGCACAGACATTGGGGAATTTAAAGCAGGGTTTTAAATGGGCTCCCAAGGAAACAATTTGCATTTGTCTGATCCAGTTCTTATAAATTGAACCCCAGGCATGGGGGATGCACTAAGATTTCCAAACTGCTATGTTTAGATATGTTACCACTTCTTGAATACATATTTCCTTTTTTCGTTTTGAGCAGGGGCTGATGCGGGAGATCAATGATTTGAGGTTAAAAGTCAGTGAAATGGATAATGAAAGACTTCAATATGAAAAAAAGCTTAAATCAACCAAAGTAAGTTTTCTCAGTGGCAAAAAAATTCTTTTAAATAAATAGCACCCCTTCGTACCTATGACCAGTAATACAAATAGAGAGTTTCTGTGTACTAAACTTGCAAGTGGATGAAGTTTTCCCCCACGCTGAGAACTTCTTGGATATAGAATAAAGCTTGGGGGTAGGACATAACCTGCTACTTCTCTGAATGTCTCACCTCCTTTATAAACTTTCGGTTTTCTGAGCGACACAGCTGCCTTTTTCTATCTGTACCTTGCTTTCACTCCTCTGTCTTTCTACTAGTGCTTAATGGCCAAACTTTCTAGCATGAAAATCAAAGTGGGTCAGATGCAGTATGAAAAGCAGCGGATGGAACAGAAGTGGGAGTCGCTGAAGGTGCAGTAGCCAGTGGGGGGTTGGTTCCGTGGCTTGTGGCTTTCTGGCAATGTCGTTTTTTGCTTGTGATGGTGTTTTTCAATGGCATGTGTTCTCACTGTTTGTGTGTGTGACCTGTGTTTTCAAATATATATAAAGCTGACGAAAGGGACCACATAATACCTAAGATTGTTTTCAGAAATATCTGAAATACTTACTGAAAAATCATAGGTAGGTAAAATTGCAGGTAAACCTCCATCTCTTAGAGGGTCTGAGATCCATGTGGTAAAATAATTGGGAACATTCACTTGTGACAGTATTCTCTTTTATATCCAATGTAGAGGTGGTTTTCTTTCTTTGAGACTTTTCTTGAAATTGTCCATTGGCTTCCCAGTAAGAGTCATCACTGCTTAGACACAGCTTGAGAGCAGGCATATCTTGTTAGCAGTGCTGCTCACAGCATGGACCTTTGGTGTCCACCCCCACCTGAAGTAAAGACTATGCCTCCACCTTCCTGTCTACATTGGAGAGCTATGTCTTCTCATAATACTCACCGCAGTAAATATCAGTGGTGACTGGCAATATAATGTGCTTCTGAAAATAGGGATGCATTGTTAACATTGCATAATTTGCTTTTCTGTATTGGATACACCCAGCAAAACACACACTTGCTGTAAGCTAATTCTTCAGCAAAATGAAAGTGAAAATTAAAATATTAGAACACCAGGCTTTGGGAACTTTGATAGTTATGCCACTGAAAAGAAACTGAGGGCTTAAAATCTGTTTTCTATACCTATTTGTTTCTGTGATTGTGGAAAGTTCTATCCTTTTGTCTTTGTGAGGAGAGTTATTTAGTTCCATGATCTGGCTAGCAATGTCTGTGACTTAATCAAGCTCTTCCCAGTGCAAGGAACATTGAAATGCTGCATGAAAGCCAAACCTGTCTTCATGTGTATTTTCCAGCTTGCATTTCATTTTGCTTTTGCTATTCTTGGATTAACATGTTCAGATTTCTCATGTGATGTAACATTTAAGGCTTGGGGCTGCCCTAGGTCCTAAATATACCTAAATATTTATTTTTAATATGGTCACAAAGAAACTTGGAATATTTATGCCAGGGTTATTGTAAGTTGGGCATTAATCAGTTGCCTGGCTTCCTGCTGCTGATTGCCTCAGTGTAACTTCTGATGTTGGCATCTAAATTCCCATAGTTGTTTTGTGTTACTCACAAAATCTCATTATTGATAGGGAATTAGCAAGTATGCTTCCTGTGAGAGAGGTCTCAGTTGTGACCTTCCATTTAAAAGTGAATGCATTATTTATAGGATGAACTGGCATCCTTGAAAGAGCAACTGGAAGAGAAGGAATGTGAGGTGAATAGATTACAAGAACAGTTGGTCTCCAGGATGAAGGGAGAAGGCGTTGAAATCCCTGATCGAGGTAAGAACACCTGTTTAACACTGTTAACTTCACTTTGTTCAAGTCCTCCAAGATCTGTAAAGGTCACTAATGACTGTGACATGGAGTTTTGGCACCAAAGGAAACAAACAACCTTCCCATGCAGACCCAGACCTAGGGAAGCTTGGGCCTGCTATCCTGGGGACACCCTGCCCTTCACCTTGGCAGAGGGGAGTTTACTTTAGGAGACTGAACTGAAAATTCTCATCTTGAGAGTTTTTGTCAAAAGTCCACACAAATGAGGGTCAGCAAGAATGAATAGGAATGACTCACATGTCCAGAGCTTACTTCCCTTGGAACCAAACTTAAGACGATAAAAGAGATTTAGAAACCTTTCCTGCCCCTCTGAGTCCAGAGAAAGTTTCAACAATTCTGAAGAATCATGAAAATTTCTCATCATACACTGATAAGAAATCAGCCTCTTAGTAGAGTTAATTCTTTTTTTTTTTCCTAAACTTCTGTGTGACTTTATGAAAAGGTTTTTCATAATTGGGGACAATTGTCCTGAATATCATGTGAACTATAATTCTTAAATCATGTACATTTTTAATTAATGTAATAATTTTCAACGTATGGAAAGAAGTAATGTAATTACATGCTAACAGTGTAATTTGATATAAATTGAAAATACAATAATAAAATGTTTATTATTAAGTAAGTGATATTAATGCTGGTAGAGTCACCTGAATGAGATATGTTTGGAAATATAAATGCATGAAAATGTCCGGCAACAGCAGGTAGGATTTAGCCCTTTTGTGCTGTTGCACATGGAAGCTGTGGTTGCACCAGATGGCAAAGCGACTTCTCACCCATTAGACACAGCAATTACTTTGGCACACTTTTATCTATGCCCTGAGCATGGAAAGCATTATTATCTGGTCATTAAGGAACTTGAATAGGATGACCTCTAAATACTCTGGAGTACCAGAAGACTCAATTCATAGAAAAAAGAAGGGAATTCATAGGGAAGAGAAATGGACTTTGCTTTCCTCTATATTTTGGCATAGATTAGAATGGGGTGTTCTTAAAGTGTATTAATGAGTAGGTCATGCATTTAGGGTTTAAGATAGAAAATCACAGGACTTGGGGCTAGAGAACAGATTGGCATAGAGTTCCCTACAGTCTGACTTGCACAGAAGCACAGGGACTAGGAGCAGGTATTTGGAAATGTCATGCAAGCCACAGCAGACCTGATTTAAGGTGTCGTCATTGGGTCACATCCCTGAGTAGGACAGAGATTGTGTCAGTGTGACTGGGTCTCAATGGTGAGTCGACTGTGACCCGAGCATTTGTGGTCACATTCAAGAGTGCCCTGTGTCACACTCTAGAGCCAGCGTGGACAACAAGCATAATGGGTTTTCACCCCCTCAAGCTTCAGAAGCACCTGGAATCAACAGGTTGCTGTTGAGAGAGATGAAGTGAGAGGCTGTGGCTTGAACTGGGTCTTCTGATCAGTGCTGCAAGCACCTCTGTCCTGGCTCACCTGGAGCTGACATCACCAAACAGCAAGCAACACTCAGTGTTTTGTGGCAGATTTTTTTATTCTGGGTGAAAGGAGACTAAGACATAGTGCTTTTCAGCTACTCTTGATCGTTGTCATGTTTGCTAATTCTGATTCGATGGGTTTTCCTGCACAGATGAAAATTTTAAAAAGAAGCTCAAAGACAAAAGTAAGGCTTTTGGCATATTTTCATCAGCCTTTCCATTCACCACAAATGCTGAACTGCTCTCTGCATGCATTTTGATACATCCCTCTTACCAAAGTTGTCCAGTTGCTTCATCAATAAGCTTCCCATCTCTCCAGAGTGTGCTGCACAGAGGTTAACAGCAGGAGGAAAGAGCAGGGAGAGGGGCTTGCAAGTTTTCTCTGATGCAGGCCTGTGAAGGGCCCGATTCATTCCTGTAGCATAGAGAGGATCCTTAATGCTCTCTTTCCTCCAGATTCCGGGTTCTTAAGTCAAGGGAATTTGCCCTTCAAACTGAAAGAAGATTCCTAGAGAATGTACCTTTAATGGAAAATGTTCATTTAGTTCTGAGAGATGCACCACTGTTTGAAAGAAATATCTGGCATAGCTTTTCTTTTTCTCAGGTGACTTGAGCTGCATTTTCCTGTTTCAATTATTTTAAGTTGTGATTGATTCCATTTTAGGTTGGCTTTCCATCTTGAAAACACTTGGTTAGTTGTTTCTTGTGAAAGTAACATGCTTTTGTGTTCAAATATCAATTTTTAAGGAAAATTACATTCCACTTGCTTTAGCCCCTTTGTTTGAAAATTTGTGTGAACATAACATTGGAATGAAGCTTATAGATGAAGCAAAGTACTTCCGGTACTTCTGTGTGGGCCCCGCCCCACTTCTCAGCATGACGCCCATGCACACATCCCCTCCATCAGGTTCTTAACCCTCATGTCTCTGCCCAGTTGTTGCCAGGTGTAATGTTCTCTGCTTTCATCATCACATCCCCCTGTTGTCTTCACCCGCCACTCCAGAGGCTGCTGTTTGAAAGCTGCCTGCTTTTTGTGGCAGCGACACTGAAGTGACCTTCTGTGTCGGTGTGCCATTTTCGCCGTTGCTTTGGGGGAGAGCAGTTAATGCTTTCCTTCCTGTCTTGTCTTCTTTCTGGAATGTTGACTCTGCCCATGAGGTAAAGGTGCTTATTTTTCAGGTTTTCCCTAAAAGGGAATCTGGCTACTAAATGGTCAGGGTGCCTTTGAAAGTGCAATGAGTGGCCATTAACATACCACCTAAGCCACTTCCACCCAAGCGTCAGTAATTACTTGTCACCATTTTACTTGTTCACAAAACTAACCTGTGACTTGATGTTGTGATATTTTCAGATATTGAAGTTCAAAAAATGAAAAAGGCGATGGAGTCTTTGATGGCAGCCAATGAAGAAAAGGTATCTGGATGGAAGTGAGATGCTTGCTTGGCTGCATGTAGCGTCACTTGTCACTCCAGGCGCTTTCCCTCCAGTGTGGCTTTGCCAGCTCTGCCCCTCCTGGAGGGGTAGTAGAAGCCAGAGGAGGTCATTGAGCATGTGAGCATGGGGACCAGCAGCCCCACAACCAAGGACTCTAGAACTCGTCCACACCATCAGTTCAGGTCCTCTGTCCAGGTGACCCATGAGAGAAAGTACACTGTCCCTAGCATGTCCTTTGTGGGCACTGGAGCCTGACTGCCATGTGTGAAGTGTGCCTTGTTGCTGTCAGCTCCTTCCCCCCAGGGGCTAACTTTGGTCTCCTGCGAAGTGATGTACCAGGAACCAGTACAGGGTTTGTGGGGGCTCTGACCCTTCAGTCTCATCCCAGGAGGCCTATTCCCTGGCCCTTCTCTTTACTTCCTGCCAGCTGAGAGCAGGAATGCAGGGCCTCTCTGGCCATGTTCCTGTATGCAGCCGTGCACACAGCAGGCAGCCTCTGTCACTTCAAAATGGCTATCCCTGTGTGTCCCGAATAAATAGAACACAGAGGCACTGTCCCAACAAAAGCTAACTCTAAGGAAGTGAACACCAGTCCATGTTTCCCTGATCCTTGCCTGCTGCTCTGTGTTTCTTACCTCTATCTAGCTTTGCCTTTCACCTCTTCATTTGTTCTTTACTCCATAGATATAAACTCACTGATCCACTAGGCCATACATGGGTTTATTTTCATCAGTCTTTCCAGTTGTTGGATAAAACAAAAGGTCCTTAGCAAGCTGTCAAAAAAAAAAAAAAAAAAAAAAAAGAAGGAGAGAGAGAAAGATTGAAATCAATTTGGTTTTAATTTCTCGCCCTCAAAAAGCAACAACAACAAATAAAACTATGGAAAGAGGGCTGACTAGGTGCCTAGACTTCTGGGGGAGCCCCTAGAGATGCTGGAACACTGGGTGCTTCCAGGACACTTCGAAGAGGATATATTTGAGCAAATCCTGAGGAAAAGCAAGAGCAGTTCAGGAAAACAGAAGCTTCTGAAGGGCAAAGACTCCATAAACTGAAATGTATCAGAACTGAGGATGGAAACAGACCAGTGCTAGGAAAGTTCTGGAGCACAAGGTGGAAGTAGAGGGGCTATATGGGGCTGTAGTGTAATGGTGCAACCTTTGGCCTTCGGACCAAGTTAATGATGGGGAATCTTACCTTGCAGAGCTTGGGCAGTGATGTAATGAAGTTACCACTTTATAACATGAGCTGTGGTAGCTACAGGAAGGTGTGGATAACGGAGGGAGAGAGGACAGAACAGTAAATAGACTATTAAAATAGTCCAGGTGAGAAATGAAGAGCTGAAATAAGGCGATGCTGTGAAGGGGGTGAGGCGGGAGGAGATCTTAGAGAAGTTCACAGGTTAACAAGATGTTTAAATCTTTGGATTTGAGGGTTAGTTTCTGGTTTGGGCAACTGGGTAAATGATGGTGGATTTCTCCAGGGACTCCAAGTAGAGGCTCAAGTATTGGGGCAAATAATGAGCTTAGTTTGAGATGTAGTCACCTTGATGTGCTCGTCGGACGTTTAGAAAGAAATTTCTCATAGAAAGTTGAAAACTGAACATCATTTTTTGGAGTAAAGTAGAATTAAAGATCAGCAAGTAGTGATTCCCCATCCACTTTTGTAGAAATAAAGAATTGTCTGTTGGTGGGGGCTAACCTGTAGTTGATACATCAGTTATCATTATCTCCATGATAAATCACATTTATTATTTCTGCTCTTCCTGTGGTAGGGCTTAAGTCATGCTTGTGGTCTGGATTGGCTTCGTTGATTACTGAGTTTGCTGTCAGCTAGGATGGAACTGTTTGGTTCAGGAGGTTGTGATTGGCAGACTGGACTATGCTGGCCCCACCTGGGATGGTGTCTCCACCTGGGATGGTCTCTCCTCCTGTATCTTCAGAGAGCCTCAGGGTCCCCTAGGACAGCAAGAGAGGGCTGGTCCCAATTGGCAGGTACTTGCCATGCAAGTTACATGACCAAGCCGAGTCATTGTGGAAGTAGCTTGGGAGGCCATTTCTGTGATTTGCCCCAGTGATTACCTGACAAAGAAGAGGTTCAGGGGCAAAAACTTTTTAGTCAGAGTTGGGTAGATATTAGGGGTGACTAAAATGAGGTATCTATCTGGCCAGGGGATTAAGAAATCAAAATGAAAATTAAAAATGGAGAGAAGAGTTGAAAGAGTAGGGTCAGCTAGGTTGCTATCTGGAGGTCAAATTAGAAAAAGGATGGAAAATTTTTTTACTTAAAAAAAAAAAGTACCATGACTAACTGAATCAATTTCGGTGGCGTGTTTAAGAAGGGAAACATCAGATGTGGTTAATAACAGCTGATAAAGACAACAGTAATTGATCTTCCTTTCAAGAAAATATATAAGACAGAGAGGAGAGTAATCAAAATTGACATTGCTGGTGCTTTTTGTTTTGTATCTTATTACCTTGTTTTGTTTTTGTTTTTTAAAGATGGCAGCTGAAGGATAGGATCTCTAAATTTAGAGGTACTTTTTCTATATCTCTGATGTACGTAGGAAAACTATTCTAGCTATTACCAGTTTTACTAAAGTTTAGAAGTATGCTTTGAATAATGTAAATAATTCACGTCTACTTATTCTTTGTGTCACAATTAATGTTGACTATTTTAAAATCACAGTATTAAAGGTAGTCATCTATTTATTAATAGGATCGGAAAATAGAAGATCTTCGACAGTGCCTGAACAGGTACAAGAAAATGCAAGATACAGGGGTACTGGCTCAAGCTAAAAAAGGTAGTGCAGCTCTAAAAGTTTTTCTGTGTTACTCGGTTTTAAGCTTGTACAGTTGGCCTCAGTTTCTTTCTTAGCACAAGCATGTCCATTACCCCATTTAGATTACTCATTCATGCAGCAGTATGATTGAGTAATGGACATCTGTTCTCTACTTCAAGGTGATTAGGCTGATGAGTATTCTGCAAATTGGCTGGTTAAGGAGAGTCTCTTGAAGTTGACTAGAAAGCATTTCAGAGAGAGCAAAGTCATGTGCAAGAGCCTGGGGTTAAAAGCTCCGGTGAGTCTAAGAAGAAAAGATGTCCATTGGCGGTCAGTGGGGAGAGTGAGATAAATGGGGTGATATAGGAGGCCTAAGCATACAAAACGGGAAAGTGGCCTTTTATTTCAGCCCAAAGAGTCTTGACAAATTCCTGTGTTCAAAGGAAGAGCCCGTCATTTCTGGAAACTAGACTATATTGTAAAATATTTGGGAAATAGAGAAAAGCAGTAAGAAATAAAAATCACTCTTAATTGCATTGGCCTGATCACCTTGGACATTTTCATGTGTTTCTTTGTCACTAAAGGAGTAGTGTTTAACAATGCACAGCAGCATAGATATTCATAAATCTTAGAAAATTAAGCCTTGCTCCAGTAGAGTAATATAAACTGTGATTTCTCACCATTGAGTGTAACTATGAACAAATAGTTAATCCTCACACAACACTGGTTATCTCTTATTCATGATATTTTTTCTTCAGCTGGTGCCAGGAGAAATTGACTTTAATTTTGGATGATCACAAAAAATTGTACCTTGATTGTCATTGGACTTCGTAGTGTCTTCCAAAAGTGAGATATCAAGGAAAAACTGTTCTTGTCCTCCCCTGTTGTGTCTTTTCCTAGGCCAAGATGGCAACTACGAAGATCTTCTCTCTTCCAGCTCCTTCTCCACTTTGCTGGATGTGCAGGGGTTTAGTGATCTGGAGAAAAGTCTGTCCTCAACCCCCGTGATGGGATCTCCCACCCGCGACCCATTTAACACAAGTATTTCAGAAGAGGTATACATTCTTCAGTATTTCCTTTCATTGAAGAGACTGTCTAGAAAGTGGAAAATCTTTTGAGAATGTGAGAAACATGGGTTCTTTGCCTGACTTGATTACTATCTTGGTTTGTCCTTGGCAGTTTTGTGTTCTCCAGGTCTTTTATTTGAAAGGTATGTTTTCCATCCTCTCTTTAATAAATAAACGCCTTGGGCAATGTCAGAAATATTTATATAACCCAGGCAATGCATATGAATCCCTTGGAAAGATAAATGTCATTGTAACTTGACAATGAGATTATAATCCACTTGTGAAAGAAAAAGTCAGGGACAAATAAAGTAAGGGTGCAGTGATATAAGTTGGTTTGAATTACTTGTCTTGGTGACTCTGAGAAACCAGGGGTTCCATTTGGCAATCTTTGAGGATTGTGGATCATACATTGCATGGTCCCAAACCTGAAGTCAGTCAATGAATTGATCTACAACCATGGTTCTGGCAAAGCCAATGAAGGGACTGCTGTGAAGGACACACAGTGGTTGCCTATCTCTTGGTAAATGTGGTGCCACATGAAGTATCTGACTCATAAGATCTGTAGTATTGGAGACAGCTCTCTATGATCTTTCAGATGACCCTTCTGCAAGATGGAACAAAGAAGACCACCCATTTTGTAGAAAGTAGAGATGCTGATGACAAGCATGACCTGACCAGCAGGCTTCATGGAAGGATAGCTTGGGTGTCTGCCATGATTGTTGGTAATCTGATCAAGTTAGTAAACAGTGACTGCTTGCAAATTAGAGGGGAGAAAAAAGGTGATGGGCAAAAAAATCCCTCTGATGTTGCTAGACTTGGAAAAAGCAACCGGTGGGAAATAAATTGTCTTAACTCTTTCATTTTACTTCATCTCAAACTGGGTCTTGAGTCTTCTCAAGGTGGGTGGTGAAGCCTGGCTATTTGCTGGGATGTCTACTGAGGCTCTGGTGGACTTGCAGGGGGTGACCCTTCAAACTTCTTCACAGTCACCTTAGTCCTAGGCATAAGGGTGAACATCTCTAGAAGAAGAGAAGACCACTTGAAATCACCTTTTGTGACACATCTTAGAAGGCTTGTGGTCACAGACCCACCCAGATTCAAGGAGAAGAAACATGGACCCTACTCCGCCTGGATTAAGTCATTTAATCCAGGGTGGATTCAGCAACCTCTGGAAAGAATCCACACTCTAAGAGAACTGTAAGCCAAATGGTTGCACTGTGAAGAAGTCAGTGACTTGGCCTCTGAGTTTCCCAGTTGGACACATTTATGCTTGTTCAAGATTTGGATTCCTAAAGTCCTCTCCTGAATTCTTTGTTGGTGGAAGGTGTTGGGAGTCTCCCCAAACATAAAGTGACCTTTGTCCTAAATCACCGTTGTAATGAGACAGCAGCCAGGATATGTAGCCACGTCTCCCCAATTTCAATTCTTCCTTGGGGAAGAATAAAAATATGTCTTCAAGTCTATCATCTTGAAAATCTTTCATCTCTACCATTTAGAGCTTCTCCCACACACTCAGCTCCCCCCACACTTCCCTTTGATGAACTGATGCTTTCACAATGCAGGAATAACAGGTACAATCATATTTGGAGACTAGGGTCTGCTCTTCCACATTTTAGCTGCAGCACTTTGCAGTCCTTTTCCATATAGAATATCCTGCCCTCTCTCTCACCCCCTTGCCTAGTTGGGCATTAGCACTCCAGGATCTCCTCATCCAGATTAGCCCAGGGTGTCACTGAAGCCCCTCAAATGCATTTCCTTGAGTACCGCTTCAAATTCCTGGAACTTAAGGATGGGCTCTCTGCCCCCTGCTAAGCCCATAGACAGTGGTAGAATGGGGACAGTGTATCTGCCCCCACACACTCCCTCTAAAGAAAAGGAAATGGAAGGCATGCGTGGTGTCCCTTGCCCACAGCCATCCTAAAATCCATCCAGATGTGGGTTGCTGCTTCCTTAATTTAGGCCTGTCTACTGTGCTACTGTGCTCAGGCTCTTCCTTCCTAGCCAACCCACCTTTTCTGTAAAAAGGAGACTGTACTTGCAGACAAGGAATTTTCTGTAAAGTGCCCATGTTGGTGTAGAACCTTCCTACCATTCTCTATTAGGTGATTCCTTTTCAGATTCATTTGGTGGAAAAGATTTTAAATGTTTGGAGTTTCTTTAAAAATCCATTTCTAATGTACTGCATTCAGGCAGCTTCACAATTAGCCCATTTCTACCCTCGGTACCTTTACGGTTGCTCTGGGGTATGCCTTTAGTCATAGAGTTTTGTTGCTTTCCAAGGACTCAGTAAGGTGGCAGTGACTTCAGTCATCCTGGGGTCTTAACCAAGGTTGCACTGGGGTTCCGTCTTTGGTCTGTTTCCTCACAGCCCCTTGTGCCTGGTCTTTACCCTTAAACAGTCTCTTAATTTGAAAGTGGTATGCCACCTAAGGAGCCTAGTTTTAGGGAGCACTTTCCCTTTTGAACTGGATGGTCTTGGTTCTCTGACATTTAAGAGCTCTTTGATCACTTGTCTCTCCTCTAGCATTTTCTCATAGGCAGTGAGAGAGGGACCATGTGGCATCTTATACCTGTTGCTACTTATTATCTGTATAGAATTTGCATTGAATGAAGATGAATTCAGGGAGAAAGCAATTCACATTTCTCCCGTAAACGTAAGAGAGGGCTTAAATGCAACCTGAATAAGGAGGTACTTAAAAAATACAGAATATTTTAGAGCCTAAAAACCCCTCATTGTTAAGCATGTCTTTATACTGGAAGGGAAAAAATAACTTGTCACAGTCAATGAGTGTGACATAAAGGGGTGCCATTATATGTACACTACACCTAGATAATGTCATGGTCTTACAAAAAGCCTCAGCTGAGTTGACTGCAGTTAAGTGACAGGTCTTTTATTTGAAAAAAGAATGATTTGGTGAGGACTGAGGGTGTTCAGCAACATTTCAAAAGAAAAGCCAAAAGGGAGATTTGAATTTGCAGGCCCTGAACTTTGAAAGGAGACTAACAAAATGATAAATTTTAAAATTAAAAATTTTTTTTAAATGGGAAGAAGAGCTAAATAGATACTTCTTCTCCAGAGAACACATTGATGGCCAGTAGGCACATGAACTATGTTCAATATCACTTAACATGGAAATCCAGATCATAAAGCACAATGAGATATGATCCATATCAAAAAGACCAGAAACAACAAATGTTGGAGAGGATGTGGAGAAAAAAGAACCCTTGTACACTGTTAATGGGAATGTAGACTGGTGCAGCCCCTATAGAAAATGATATGGCGATTCCTTGAAAAATTAGAAATGGAACTACCTTCTCATCCAGCAATACCCCTGCTGGGTATTTACCGAGAGACTTGTTGATGAAAAGACTTGATGCCCACCTGTGTTCATAACAACCATGGCATGAATGAAATCTACCGCAAGCCAGTTGACAGGTGATTTTTCTAAAGATTTTGTGGAATCTGTACTCAGTGGAATACTACTCAGCTGTTAATCGTGCCCTTTGGGGCAAAACACATGCATGTTAGGGTAATTCTTCTAAATGAAACAATTCAGAAAATCAAAGACAGTTACTGGATGGTTTCACCATTTGTGGACTCTAAATAACCAAAGAAAATAAACTGCAAAGCACAATATAAATAATTCTGAGCCTCTGTGAAAAATACGCTGGTTACCAGAAGGGAGGAAGAGAGAGTTGGGGGATTAGCACTGGATATTCAGTGGAGGGTAAGTGAAGCAAGGGCACATGTGGAGTTGTGAAGTAGTGCTCCCCAGATTGTACCATTAAAGAAACAATTATCAAGTCAGTAAAGTTTGAATTAAAAAAAAAATGGGTCAGTTTGTTAATGTAGCTAGCCCCCTACCCCTGCAGGATTGGGTAACTCAAGAAACAGGGATGATGGCTAAATCAGCTGCCCAGAAATGATAATGAAAATTCAGACTAATAAAAATGATGTTGAAGTAATCTCCTGATTTATAACCATCAATAACAAACAGAAATCAAGTTGAATGTCTTGCTTATTGAAGGAAGCTGCCTTTGTGGATGGAGGACTTTTTAGTGAACTACAGATATAGAATTTCAGGATGGCTGGAGCATAGAGTGGACATTTAGCAGCAGAGGCAGGTCGGGCTCAGCCATGCATGGTTATGGGGATGATTTGAAGGTATTTGTGTTTGGTTGACATTTAGCTTTAAGAGAATAGCTGTCACTCATCCATTTATACGCCTAAACAAGTTCAGAAAAGTGAAAGAAAATTATGCTTTTTTTTTTCTAACTTGAGTTTTTTTTTTTTTTAATGTTCCACAAGCAATCCAAGTACTCTGTGGTTATCAGAAATCCTTGAAAACCAGACACTAAAATTTCACAAGGCTCATCCTTAGAATGCACAAGACATTGGTTTGGGGAAATCATATTCCATTTTCTGTTGGCAATGATGATGTTTTAATATTGTTATTATTGACACAAGTAGCTACTTGATCACACCCTTTTTTTTTTTTTTAATATTTTTATTTATTCATTATTGCCAGAGGTGCAAGGGCAGTGAGAGTCTTCACCAGAGATACAGAGTGTGGCACAGAACAGGCAGATCTTTGAAGTACACTGTTGAGAGTAGCAGCAGGCAGGCCAGGAGAGGTCTGGGTCACCTCCGGGACCGGGGCTTCGAACTCGCACTGAAAGCAACTGCAGCTCGCTTGCATTGCTGCACTTTAACCCACTGCGCCACCAGGGAGGGCCCTGATCACACTTTTAATCATTTGATTCAGTAAGTTAGGTGACTTTCCTACCTAGAGAATACTGATTACCTAGCCCCATCACTGTTGTCTACTAGCCTCATTGTAGAAATCAAAGTAAAGATAGTGCTTTGTTTATGAGACATAGTACTCACATCTCATCTTAAATCCTTAACACACTGTCAGGGAGGCATTGCCATCCTCATTTTGCAGAGGAGAAAACTGATACCCAGAGTTGACATTTCAACAGGGCTTAACATTGGTAGGGCCCACTAGACTAGAAGCTAAGTTCTTGATTTATGTCTCCATCCTAATATTCAGTGTCTTATTCAGATCCAGATTTTAAAGTTACTTTTCTCCAGAATTTTTTTGTGATGAGCACTTCCAGATGTTTCTATGCTGAGACCATTTTTATAAATGTTTCTAGACACAGGTGTGTGGAATCTTAGTGATAGCTCACTTCATTGTCATAATTATCTTTGAGTTACTCTGTGGCTAGTATTTTTGTTGGTTAGTTTGCTGGGTGGATTTCTGACTTTTTATTCTTTTTTACAGTTCCACAGCAGCATCTTGCAAGTTTCCATTTCTTCACCACTGCCGGCAGCAAAAAGCTTACAAACTCCTGAAAAAGCACAATTGCCTCCTAAACCGGATACTTCACCAGAAGAGAAGTATGTCATTTGTGACCTCATGTTGCAATGTAGTTGTTCAAGAATGTAGATCAGCCCAAAGAGCAAGGATGCCTTGCATTAGTTCACACATCTAATTCTGACTCAGAGGAGCAGGAGACATGAAGGCACATACAGTGTCCTTGTTCTGTGTTACTGAATTACATGGTGTGAAGCAAGGGAGGAGCAGGACATGAGGAGGTCAGAGTGGTAGTCAAGTGTGAGAGGAGTTTTAGGAAACCTGGATTTTATGTCTGAGGTCACAGGTGAAATGACCATAGTCATGTGGCTGAGGCTTTTTGGCAGATGGCTCTGAAGGAGACAGCAGAGTGATGTTGTAGTTTCTCCACTGGCAAAAAGAAATTGGGCGGGACATGTTTACAAATAAATTCCCTAACTTAAAATTAGACTTAATAACATATAATAGAATATCACACACAAAAATAGCTTCCCTTGCACAATTTTTTATTTTTGTACAAAATTTTTTGTTTTGACAATTTGTTTACGCTATCATATAAGGTCTTTTATTGATGAAGCTCATAGATAACTTTTTTTTTTTACATTTTAGTGATGGAAAAACATTCCTTGGTACAGTTGTCGAAAGCCAACGGAATGAAAGTGTTTCGTAAGTTGATTGAATACGAAATATGTGGTTGATACTTAGGAGAGAGGAAGCTCCTGTTAAACTAATCATGACCCATGTAGAAAGCAAATGATTGAAGCCTGAATAAGGAAATGCAGTTGCAGAGAGTGGGTGGGGTGGATGCAGGGTGGTGTGCAAGTTCAAAAGAAGTCCTTGTTCATTTCATACCAAGCTTCTCCAGGTTCTTAGCTTTTCTTCATCCATCTACATGTGAGGTCAGTGCTTTTAATGTCTTTTTTGTATTGACTTATATTTTGAATCTAGCAGGAAAAGAAATTGAGAAAACAATGCAGTGATTTGATTATTTATTTATTGCATTTTGGATTTAATAAATTGACTTCACATCAATTTTTATCTAAGATAAAGTCTGGATCCAATTTGGGAAATCTGTTTTTGAAGTAGTAATGAAAGGTGGGATCTTTTCTCACTTTTACCTTTTACTTATTTGCTGTGCCACAGCTCTAGCTGTTTTACACATAAATCCCTGAAAAGTGCATTGGTAAAGTTTGCTGGTACATTTATATTATTCTATTTCAGAGGGCAGAGATATAAACATTTCTCCCTCTTGTTTTTTACTGGTCACCTGTTCCTGCCTTTGAGTTTGAGTCACAACAACTCTATATGATAGAATGCTGATTATGTGATAAGAAAGTATCAGTGGTCAAAGGTCACCTTCTGTCTGCTGGGGCACATGAGGGCTGTCACAGGCAGCAAGTGGGGTCCCTCGACTGCATTGGTCACGACCATGCGGTGGTATCGTTGGCCAGACTAAAAAATTGGGTCCTTTGTGAACTGAAAAGTAAAATCTTCCATCCTTGATTTTAGTGAGAATGCTTATTTATAAATAAGACATGAGCATTTCCAAGTTCCTGGTATGTGTGTCTGTGTAAAGGCTCCACTCCAAGTCCATGGAAAACACCAATCTTTTTTTAAATCTTGACATCCCAAGGCTGCTGCTAAGTGTTTTTCCAGCTACTCTAACATGTGCAGGCCATTTAGCGTTCTTGGCAGGATACCTGACCACCCCCGCGTTTAAAAGAACTCAGTGTTATAATTTTGTTAAGCGCATAAGTGATGGCCTGCCTCCAGATTTTCCTTTAGTACCAAAATTCAACCCACACACTTTTAGTTCCTTTTCAAGATATTCTACTTAGAAACAGTGGCCCTACAGCACTTATTATTAATCCTAATTATGACTGTTATTATTTTTAGAACTTCAAGTCTGCAGAAGTCTAGCAGCCTGAGCAATCTGAAGAAGGAGTCATCAGATGGGGTGGGTTCTGTGTTTCTCTGTCTGTTACCCCACAGGAAAAATATTTAGGACTCTTCATCTGTTCCCATTTTGCAAATAAAATTCTTAAGAAGAGTTTATGGTTTCTCTAATGGAATATTGTTACAGATCAGAGTTAACATCAAATATTAAGAACTATGAGCATAAAGTACTGTAGGTAGTATGTAAAACCAAAAATAGACTCTTTAATAAAGCATGGCAGGGAATAAACAACACAGCGATTTGGTGTATTAGAATTAGATATACATTTAATTTGTGGAATTATACAACAATTTCTGAATTCCTGTAACAACCTTAAATGTTGTTTTGAACAGGAAAAGGAGTGTGTTCAGAAGCCTCTAGAGTTAATTTTTATGTCTAGATTATAATTTTAAATGTTTGACATTTCTAACACACAAGGTTGGTTAAAGTCTCCAGTAAACCAAAACCCACTACTTCCAAAACATGCTAAATGAATGAAACCAGACACAAAAGCACATATTCTGTGGTTCCATGTTTATGAAATATCCAGAATGGACTAATCCATGGAGACAGAACACAGGTCGGTGGTCCCCAGAGGCTGGAGGTGTGGTGGTGTGGGCTGCTGCTCACTGAGTATGGAATTTGACTTGAAAGTGATAGCAGTGTCCTGGAACTACCTGGAAGGGTAGCAGCACAGTGTTGTACAAAACTGTTCTGGAATGTACTGGATCGTTCACTTTAGAATAATTACTTTAGTGTTAAGTAAAATTTCTCACAGTAAGTCATTGGAAAAGCAAAGCAAGCACCAAGCTCTCAGTCATGCCATTTGATGTTCTTACTGACCCAAATAGGCTCCCTTGGGCTTCACAAAGAACCCTCTTCCATCAGCCCTCTGCCCAACCTGCAGCCAACATTTTGGTATTTTTCAGGGCCTTATTGCAGGGCCTTGGGCTTGCTCGTCTTTCCTCTAACTTTGACCATGAACCTTGTAGAGTCTGGGGGACATGTGTGGCCTCTGGACTGTTGGCTCCTGCTTCCTTGGGTTGCCACATAGGTTGACTGACAAAGCCTAAGTAGTGCTGACAACTCCTTTCAGGCCATCCTTTGTTCTCCTCTCTAGCTGATTCAGGAAATGGATAGGTGATGTTGATTTCAGATCATTGCTGAGACTTGCATATGTAGCTCCCCTCAGTGGGGACAAGAGATTTTAGCATATAGATTCATAGGGTAAAATTACCACCATAAAAGCTAGTATCTCCGGCCTTTCTCTGAACTTCTCTGAAAGAGAAACTGAGGGCAAGAGGTGTCAGAGCAAAGGTTGTATGAAACAGTTTTGTTTGGGTGTATGAACCACCAAAACCTTGTAACAGAGCACATCACTCTAACTGCCAATCCAGAAAGCTCAAAGAATAAGCAGTATTTAAAAGCACACATTAATCCCATTTGAAGTTCTTGATTAAGATCCTGAAATATTGTAGTGATCTGAAGTGGCTACTGAATTGAATGATAGCTCTGTTAGTTCAATGTTAAGTGTCTCTAAATGTATCTCAGTCTTTGAAAATTGATGACCCATGTTTGCAAGCTAGCAGATGATGAAAGACCAAATCTCAGAATCAGCAGTTGTTGATTATACCTACATTTTATCATTAATTTACAGTTAATATTAATTAGGGGTTCTTTGAAAAGAATATTCAAGAGCATTGGGGTAAGATCTTACATTGCTTGTACAGAAGCATGGACTAAGTAGAGTGATGTCACATGCTGGATTTACTATTGATGTAGTTATAAAGAATGAACTATATTATAGCCATGTCTATTCCATAATTGTTAGAAAATTAACTTACTGTTTAAGTGAGGTAATACCTCCATGTTTTTTGAGGAGACAAAATGAAAATGAAATTTGAGTATTTATCTTAAATATGCTAAACACATGAATTGTAGATGAGTGATGTGTCTATTTTAAGGTTAACTTTTCATTTTTAAGATGGCATTTGCTTTTATTTGCAATCAATTTGCTAGTTCAGTTCGTCTTTGAAATATAATCACAAATGTACTTAGTACTGAGCCTCCCCTGAGTGATAACCACAGGCGTTATTAGCACTATATCACATTCACTAATTATTACTTATCTCTCAGGATAAAGCACAGGCAGAAAGCAGCCCTTTTGGGAACCTCCCCCCAAAAGCTCCAGGACATGGTGCCTCTGCAGATGACAACCCCTTTGGTACCCGAAAAGCTAGATCTTCCTTTGGTCGGGGCTTTTTTAAAATTAAAAGCAGCAAGAGGACAGCCAGTGCACCTAACTTGGGTAAGTAAGGCCTAATGCCTTTGCTGTGGTTCTTCCAGAGTGTGGAAAAGGCCCATTTTGTCCCTTCCTTTGTTCATCTCTATACATTTCTCTCTCTCAGAAGTACAGGTTGATGACTTGGGGGCAAGGGAGCAAAAGAAAAAAGGCCTCTGTGGATTACATGGAGCAGTATGAAGCTAGCTCTTGTAGACACTCACCTGCAGCCTGTTCTGGGGTGCAGACTTAGCACAGGACCTCAGACTGTGCCTCTCTGCCTCTGAGATGAGCCCTCTTCCTGCAGTGTGAACATGGATCGGGCGGGGTCCATTACCCGCAGAGGCACAGCCGGCACTTGCCTCCTCTCCCACTGGGTGTGTCTCAGGGTCGCAGTTTGACCTGTTTCATTTTGTCCTTCCCCTGTGTTCTCTCCATTGGGCTGCGTGTGTTTGTGTGCGTTGTGGGGATATCTGAAGACCGTGCGCGGAGTGCCAGTGCGCCCACCCTAGGTACGGTACCCTGCATGCCTGCCCGTGCCGCCACGGGGCTGCTCCCTGCGCTTGGATCTGAGCTCTAGACAGCAAGCTGGCTCCGCCGAAGATCTAGTTGTCTAGTCTCGAGCACCTTCCAGCTTCCGCCTGTGCTTCCAAGCCTAGACGCTGCCCTAACCCACGCTACTGAGCTGGCTCAGGCTCCGAGTGGCCCGGGGTGTACCCCGCAGGGCTGGGCATCTGCCCCTCCTCACAGCACACCCCCACTGACTCCCAAGCCAGGGCCTTGCGGTCCTTCTTCAGGGTTACTTTTTCCTCAGCTTCCCAAAGAAGTGCTTTTAAAGTCAAGCACAGAGGTCTGTGGAAGATATTGAAACCTGTCGTTTCAGACTTTATCTCTCTTAAGAGAACATTCTTTTTACATTTTATTGCTCTGAAGATGGAGGCAAGGTATAGTGATGGAAGATGTGACCTTAATGTGGGATTTGAGGGGAGCCCTCCAACTGACTTGAGGAGATGGGAAATTCAGTTTTCCCTTTTTAAAGGTCAGGTTTAGTAGCAAAAAAAAAGTCCTCAAAGATTGAAAAAAAAATTAACATACTTTTACAATGAGGATGCAGAAAAGGAAAAAAAAAATAGAAAAAAAAATAAGAATGGCCTAGGAGGCATTTGCAGGCGCACTGCCACTCTCCTCAGCTTCACGAATACAACAAAGGCTCTTCTGGGGTTTCTCAGTGGTTCTGGTCACAGCTCTCATCTATCCAGTCATGTGGATGGCAAAGAAGACGTCATTGTATAACTTAAATGTCTAGAATGGACACTGGATGAATACAATAACCTGATCTCTTCACACAACTATTTTCAGATGTTTTTGCACCTTTCTTAGAAGAAATGAATTGTCAAGGCTAGGAGGGAAGTGCTGCTTCCTGTAGCCTGTGGGCACAGCTCTGCTGCGGAGAATAGGCAGCCTCTGCAACACTCCCTTGCTGAAAGACGCCCCGGGGCGGCTTGTAAAACTTGTGCTTTCCTCTGTAAAGGTGTAAAGTGCAGGCTGGCCCTAGTGCTGATTTGCTAGTGTGGGATGGTCCATCAAGAAACAGCTAAAAGAAAGGAAAGAGTTCATGCTTAGACATCCGAAAGGAGCAAATTTGGACATTATTCTGTTAAAGCAAATCAACAGACACTCATTTTATGAGAAACGAGAAGTTTGTACAAACCCAGTTCACTCTTTTCTCAGTGCATTGCCATAGAATTTATAAACAGGAGTAAGTTTCCTGACAAAGATTTGCTAAAACTTGGTAAGTGATTTGATATAATTGTCAAAGGAGAGAAAGAAGTGAAAAGAGAGATGAGAACGTTTAGAATGTCACTATTGATAAAACATTGAGAAAATTGCATGGCTTTGTTAAATCCCAGCTGTCCGTGGCACACCAGCATGGAAATACAGACATTCTGATACGTAGGCTGGGGGCAGATTTTGAGGTCAGCTGCTTATAAAAGTGAGTGAAACCACTGCTTAGTGCTGAGCTTGGAACCGGTGAGCTTACCAGGAGAGCCTGCAGAGGGACCTCGGACAGAACCTTGGAATGGAGTGGAGCAGAGTAGAGCTCCAGCCAAAAAGACACTCTCAGCTGGCACATCCCAGTAGAAGCTAAAGAAGGTGATAAATCAGAGAGGTCGGAAGGCCTGCAGTAGCAGTTGCTCTGCAGTGAGGTGGCTTCGTTGAATTCAGGTCACCTGAAGAAAGAATGCAGTAGTCCTGTCACACCTTCAGCTCTGAAAGGGGCTGGACTTTAAATGCAACAGAGTGGAGAGTAGAACATCCCTTTTTATCTTTGTCAGGTGCTCTTTGCAAATCGCTGATCTATAAGCCAGCAGAGTAGGAATTCTTAAAAGATGTTAAGCCAAAAAGGGTAGCGTCTATCAGTGATCCCTCCATATTTTAAAACTCACCATGTTTGCATTCTATGTTTGGACTAGCTGAAACAGAGAAGGAGACAGCTGAGCACCTGGATCTGGCAGGTGTATCCTCCCGGCCCAGAGAACCTCAGGGGAGTAGTCCTTTCCAGCTGTCCCCACCATCTCCAGATTCCAAAAAGAAATCCAGGGGCATCATGAAACTCTTTGGAAAGTAAGTGATTACAGAACAAATGAGTGGCTTTTGTTTTAGATGTTGCTTCACTGTAGGAATGGTTGGAATATTGGCTGAAAAATGACAATAAAAATGCAAGGCTCTGTGTTCTCTGACAGAGGAAGATTGTGACTTGGGCTATACAAGCTTGTTGGGTCTCAGTGAAAGTTTAAATCCAAGTATCCGCTTTAAGGCTACTCACAGAGGCATAGCTCAGATGCAGGCACTGGTTAAAAGTGCCAGATGAGCTGTGTTGTCCAAGGCCACCTTTGATCTAACCTGTGACGGTGTGTGCTGTGTCCTCTACACAGACTCAGGAGAACTCAGTCAACAACATTCAACCCAGAGGACATGTCTGAGCCTGAGTTCAAGAGAGGAGGGACAAGGGCCACGGCAGGACCCCGACTAGGCTGGTCTCGAGATTTGGGACAGACTAACAGGTAAGAAAAACCAAGTGAGCAGACTTTTGCATCTACCCCAGCACCTGCAAGGATAGGATTGTCCCTGAGTTGCAGCCTGCCCTGCTTGGCCGAAGGGCCCCTCTTCTCCAGAGCAGGGCAGCTGGACCTGGGGGTGAGGTGAGGAGTCAGAGGTAAAGTGTCAGCAGCATCTGATCTGGAAGGACTTCACATTACGTAGAGCAAGCCACTTAGGCTCGGAAGCCTAGTCCCAGAAGGACAGTTGGACTGCGTAGATCCGATTTCTGCTTTGCTGCTCCCTACAAGCTGGGTGACTGTGGGCAGCTGCTTCCAGCTCTGTGTCTGTTTCTCAGAGTGATCATCAGTCCCTTCTGAAGGTGATATGGAGAGTAACCCATTGCATATGCTATGCAGTATCTGGCAAATAATTATTGTTTAGGAACCATTCATGTCAGTAGAAGCTGGAATGCACTTATTAACTGAATCTGATACAAGCTTTCAGAATTCTTAAATATATCAGGGTGTAATATTGTCTCTGCTGAGTCACTTAGGAACTTTCCCTATACCTGATGACAATTCAGGGCTGGACCTGAGGCTAAAAGGGTGGATTGGCAAACATAGCACAGCTCACTGATACTAACTTTTTACAAAGCACACTGGCTGGAGACCTTTGTGGCCTAGTCCCTCCCATCCAGGCAGACGACTGGGTGTAGGCTCCATCAAGGAGGAAATTCTGACCTTTAGATACTGAACAGTCTCATTTACCATATGTCATTGTGCTGTCAAAAAGGTAAATAAGTAGCTTTGTTCATCTCCACATATTGTCAAGCAGGAATACTCCTCATCTATCCAAGTTAAAGAAAACAACCTCTGCTAATGGTAGTTTTCCACACTCAGTGATAGCAGTGTGTTGCCCTCTTCTCATTGACCATCACCTTGGGAGAAACTGAGGTTCTTCCCACGTCAGTTGAAATCAGCCCTGAATGGCAGACAGAGTGCTGTCTGCGTGGGGACTCAGCCTCACACAGTGTAACACTAGTACAGTGACCTCGCTATGGGTTCAGCTCATTCTTCCTCTGGGGATAAGCTCTTATTAAATCACAAGGTGTCTCCTCTGGTTTGGTTTGAAATGAAGACTGGTCTTTAGGGTAGCTTTCAGTCCTCCAAGTGTGTATTAAAAACCTAGCTCTTCATGCTCAAATGTACACATTGGTTTACAGAGGTTCAAACCTGTGTGAAGCCACCAAGGTTAGCTCTGAATTGCTGGTCATGCAAGTGTTCATTTTCCTGCAGTGACCTGGATATGCCATTTGCCAAATGGACCAAGGAGCAGGTCTGCAGCTGGCTTGTGGAGCAGGGCTTGGGGTCCTACCTGAATTCTGGCAAGCACTGGATTGCCTCTGGCCAGACACTTCTGCAGGCTTCTCAGCAAGACCTGGAGAAGGTGAGTACTTCTCTGTTCGGCTTACAAAATGGATGCTGAGAGAGAAAGACTGTGAATGTGGGATTGTTTGATACTCCACAAGGTGGAGTAGGTAATGTCAGTGAGTGATCTCGAAAGTTTAGGTTTCCTGCTCACACTTACTTTATCCCATGGACTTAAACAGGCCGAATCTGATCTTAATGATTACTTGTGGGACACGTAAGCCACTGGCCTTTTGTTTGTTCTATCCCGTCCATTCATCTATTCATCCATACTCCATTTTTCTTAAAGAACTGTCCAGAGAAAAACTGTTAAAAAGGGGGAAGCCAGTGTCCCTGAAACCAAAGTGTTACATTTTCTTAACATAAAGTTAAGTTATAGTAAAAATATTGGATTTCAGAGGCCTCCCTGGTGACCTAGGACTTAAGTCTCAGCACTATCAACTGCTGCAAATCCCTGCCCAGGGAGCTGACCCACATGGCACAGCAGACCTCTCCTGTCTGACCCGCTGCTCCCCTCAGCAGTGTATTTCAATAGATCTGCCTGTTCTGCTCCCCGTTCTGTCTCTGGTGAATCGTCTCCTGTACTTCTAGCCTATACCCCAATTCTTCTACACATAAAGTCTTTTTTAAAAAATGTTGCATTTCAGAAACTTAAAGAAAAAGGACACAAACTTCAAGATGCTTTCATGTGGTCCATGAGGTCTCCCCACTTGGCCTGTGGTACTTTAAGGTCTCGGGTAGTGGGAGGGTGCCCATCTACATGCTGGTGGTGCTAAAATGTAACAAACTTTTCCTCCAGGATGGGGTGGGGCATCATAACAGGTGGCTGCCTTCTACCAGCTCTGGCTGGTGACACCCATGGGTATGACTGGGAAGCCACTGGCCTTTTAATGAAAAATAATCAGAGAGCCAGAATAGTAAATCTTCAGCTTCTTAATTTGTCAAAATAATTTTGTGCCTTTATTCCTGGCTAATCTTCTCAATGTAATATAGATAATTCAGCTTCACTTTGCAGCGGGATGAAGAGAGCCCAACGTTTTATATTTAATCATTTAACATGTCTTCCCAGTTACTTAACCTACTTTACTTTTACTTTTTACTACTATTACTACTTGAGTTAGTACCTTGAGTGAATGTAATTATTGGTTCATTAGGAGGTCTCTGCATCTTTGTCAGTGGCATCTAGCTTGTAGTGACAGAAATTTAAAGTCAAGTTTATTTCAGGAACTTGGAATCAAACATTCACTTCATCGAAAGAAACTCCAGCTGGCTCTCCAAGCCCTGGGATCTGAAGAAGAAACCAATCATGGAAAACTGGATTTCAACTGGGTCACTAGTAAGAAGTTTCAGAGTCATGAATGATTAGAACAAACTATCAGGTTGTCGGAAAAGTCGTGATTCATGTTTGCTATTTTCTGTTTCATGATTTTCCCGATAACCTTGTATATGTGTGTGTGTGTGTGCGTGCATATATATATACATATTTTAATCATAAGAACTGATGTTCTATGACCTGGTTATGGCCTTGGTTCTCTCCTTTAGGATGGTTGGATGATATTGGTCTCCCCCAGTACAAGACCCAGTTTGATGAGGGACGAGTAGATGGTCGAATGCTCCATTACATGACTGTGGTAAGTGGTTTTCTCCTGGGATTTGGGGAATAAAGTTTTTTCCTCCTCTAATAGCCCCAGAAACAGTGAGCAAAGCACACTATTTCACCGATTTCACCAGAGTCTGAGGATGTTGCTTTAACCTGAGGAGAGGGGAGAGACTGTTTTCTCCTGAAATTGAAGTGGCAGAATTTGGGGTTTGCAATAGTCTGGTGAAAAATTGGCACTCTGATTTAAAGCTATATGAAACCTAATTTAAACTAAGCTGTCCAAAAAGTTGATTTCATATATATTCAGCTGTGTAGACACTGATGTGTATGTGAGTGTGTGAATTTTATGACATGTTAACTATATATTTCATAAAGACATTTTTAAAATGGAGAATGTAGTGCTAAATGTAGAATTTGAAGCCCTAGAAGTTTCTAAGCTTGGTAGTCCCCTATTCAGTGAGCACTATTCAGTGAGCACCACAGAAGAGGCTTGTCTCTGGCCTAACATGCCAGGAACACGTGTCTTCTCCCTTTCCTTCCTTTTTTTTTTTTTTTTTTAAATATCTGTTTATTTATGCATACAGGAATGGGGGCCAAGGCAAGAGGTGCAGGGCTCAGAGGACTCACCAGAGACCAAGTGGGGAGCAGAACAAGCAGACTGACTGCAATATACTGCTGAGGGGAGCATCGGGCAAGACAGGAGAAATCTGCACCATGTGGGTCAGCTCCCTGGCTGGCCTGCTGTCCAGCTTATGCTGCAGTGGCTGGCGATAGCTTGATAGTGCTTTTTAACCCCTTGTGCCACCAGCAAGGCCTTCCTTCCCTTCCACTGTTGAGGGCTGTTTCCTGAGCCCCAGTTCTGCTAGGGCATGGTCTCTGGGGCAGGCGGTTAACTTGGACCTTGTCTCTGGCTCCTTCATCACTATTTCTAGCCCCCCACCCAATGGACAGACGACCTTCCTTTCCTTGCAGTGTGAAGAACTGCAGATTCCTCAAGAGCCATTTTGATTCCAGAGCATTACTAGTGTCCTTCGCAAGAAACTTTCACTTAAATGGACTTTTGTGAATTGGGTTATGGATCCAAATACCAGATACCTTCTTCTTTAGATTAGTTGAAAATTTCCTACAGTTCATGTAAATTGGAAATTTTCAAAATCAAAGTTTTGGATTTAGCTGATGGAATTTGTTTTTTCCTCTATAATCAAACCAGAATCCACACTGCGCAGGTGCACATGACGTGTCACAGGGCACTGCTTACATGTGCGACGCCTGTACTGCACATTAGGCGCACTCACTACCAACTGACACATTCCTACTCAAGTCCCAGCTACCCTTACGTTACCATCATCATTATCCCCAGTTTTGTCATGAGAAAATGAGGAACTAAAGAACCTTAACCCCGTATTCATAGTTAGAAAGTGGTAGAATTCACAGAGCATTTGAAACTAGGCTCTTTTTCCCCAGATCCCTGGGCAGCTATCACATAACTCTTTGCCTGCTTAGCTAGGTATAAGCATATTCCCATGGAAATGTGAGTAAATTGTAACTTAAAAGTACAAAGTAGATGTGTAATGTGCATGGTTATGAAAGAATAAAGTACCTTAGAAAATTTTACCCCAGAAGTCCTGAGTCCCAAAAGGTCTGTTTTAATGTGATATCTTGGATTGGCTCCAACAGATAAAGTAAGTACCTTAGTGGAGAAGCTGGTGAAACCTGAATAAAGTCCATAGCTCAGTTAAATTTTACTGTCTGTGCTAATTTTTTAGTTTTGATGAATACATCATGGCTATATAAGCTGTTAGGCTTAGGAGAAACTGGGTGAAGAGTATATGGACCTCTGTACTATCTTTGACAATTCTCCAATAAATCTAAAACTATTTAAAAAGGAAATATGTTTTGAAATGAAAAAATTTTAAGTCTGTTTTATTTTAAAAGAATAATATAGCCTCTATGAACCTCCCTAGTGGCATAGGGGTGAAAGTCTTAGCACTACCAAGCTATCACCAGCCACTGAAACATGAATTCGATCCCCGACCAGGGAGCTGACCCATGTGGTGCAGCAGACCTCTCCTGTCTCTCCCATTGCAACCCTCAGCAGTATATTTCAGTAGATATTCCTGTTCTGCTCTTCACTCTGTCTCTGGTCAATCCTCTCACCTCCTGTACCTCTGGCCTACACCCCAGTTCTTGTATACATAAATAAATAAAATAAACCTTAGAAAAAAAACCTATTTTTGAAGTTCCTCAAACTATATAAAAAGTGTTTTTTTTATTTGCATTATAAATACAAAAGTCTAGATTTTTTTTAATCTGATAGATTATAATTAGATAAAAATAGCCTCTTTGAAAACATTTTGAGTGGGTGTCTCATTCTTAGATTGAAATATGTTAATACTGGGCCCTCCCTGATGGTGCAGTGGGTTAAAGCACAGCAATAAGAAGCTAAAGCCACTTCTGCATGAGTTCGATCCCCGCCTGCCCTGGAGGTGACCCACATGGTGCAGCAGACCTCTCCTGACCCACCCGCTGCTCCCCTCAGCAGTGTACTTCAGCGATCTGCCTGTTCTGCTCTCCACTCTGTCTCTGTTGAATCCTCTCACTGCCCCAGCACCTCTGGCTTGTCAGTCAGTTCTGTATGCACAAATAAATACACCTTTAAAAAAAAAATGTTAATACCTTTTCTAACTATTTGTTGGTAAGACACTGCCTTTAAGAAATTAATCCAGAAAGAAATAAGGAAACAACTTTTTGTTCAGGCCCTAAGGGTTTAAACTGGTTGTCTAATATTTTTTTTTAAATATTTATATAATAGATTAAAGTTTTTTCTTCCCTCCCCTCCCTTCCCCGCATAAAACATGTTATCAGTAATGTGTGGCTAAAATGGACGTTTTCCTTGTTTATTTTCTGGGTGTGTTTGAAAGTAGATTGGTGCTTGTATTATATTACCCCCAAACCACCTTCTTCTAAAATAATTTGTTTTGGTGTGTTTGGTATGTTTGAAGTGTTTACTGTGAGCACAGACTGGGGATAGGACTCCTTGAAGGAACGGATTAGAGACATGTATTACTTCTTTCCCTCACTCTCACTAATACTTTGCATGGATCAATACCTTTTTGCCAAAATTGCTCAGTGTCTACTAGCTAATAAATAATTTAGAACTAGAGACTTCTAGAAGTAAGGGGAAAAGATAATGAGGTGCTCTTCTGATTACCCCCAAAACAGTGATGTGCCTTAGCTTAGGCAACCCAGCCTGGACAGTGACCTGCTTTTTACTGAATCAGATCTCAGCAGATCAGGAGTGGCAGTGGCCTCGCGTGTACCCCCTCAGTGCTGGGGTCCCACTGCCCGATCAGTGTCAGCAAGAGAGAGAAATGGGGAGTCAGCCACAGATGGAAGGACATTAATTCCAGACAGAATTTGGCTTGCAACAGGAAAAAGGGTTCTTTAACCTTTGAAATCAAGACTTTGGAACTCTTCATGTTCACCTTTGCAAGGTATCCTGGAGAAGGCAGAGCTCTGGTTCTGGCAGCTCGGTGAGCCCTGTGCTGTTTTGCAGGATGATCTGCTATCTTTGAAGGTTGTGAGTGTGCTCCATCATCTCAGTATCAAAAGGGCCATCCAAGTCCTGCGGATTAATAACTTCGAACCCAACTGTCTGCGGAGGCGGCCATCAGATGAGGTAGCATCTACAGGGTAGCTTGGCTGTGGCTCTTCCCACGTGTGGGTCTGTCCCTGTGTACATGATCCACATCTACCCCTTCCTGGAGCCCATTGGCTCCCTGAGGGTCTTAATGCCAGGCCTGCCTTGTTTACTTCTTAGACTTCCCCCATCACACCCCATGAGGCTCCTATCTTCCTACCTGAAACCAAGGACCAATATGCTTCCTCTTGGGACTGTATGCTTCCCCTCCCCACCCCCCCTTGCCTCCTAAGTCATAGAACTTTCCCTAAAGTGCTGCTCTTATTTGTGCAGAAAGAGGCTAGAAACTAATCCTTAGGAGAGAATTCCAGTTAGCAAATACCCTTGACTCCTTCCCTGGATACTTAGCCCCATTGATAGCTCTGCATGTGGGGCAGACTTTTTAGACACGACATGCCTCTGTGATGTTTGGGACCTCGGAGCTGGCAGTTGAAGAAGCTCTTGGTGGTGTTTTGTCCCCACAGAACAGCGTCACCCCAGCAGAGGTTCAGCAGTGGACCAACCACCGCGTGATGGAGTGGCTGCGTTCCGTGGACCTGGCGGAGTATGCCCCCAATCTCAGAGGCAGCGGCGTCCACGGGGGGCTCATGGTAAGCCTGGGGCCTTCGATTTTATCTTGACGTCTTACCAGTCTGTCTCCTTGAGTGGGATGTGACTAGCAGGTTGCGCATAGCCCTCCTGCCATCTAACCACCCAACCCCCCCTCCTGTGCTACTTTATTCATTGTGTATAAATCTGGATTAGATATGAACTCTTTCTCCTTTTTTGGCCTATTTTACATTGGCTAACAGCTGGCGAGAGGCTCTCCTATGATTATATTTTTAAAGCCCTGCAAGGATCCACTTCTGTTCTATGTATGGAATAGCATGAAGAGTTGTTTCCAAAGGCCTTCCAAAGGGCCCTGTCAGAGAGGTTGAAGCTCTCACTTTACAACACACAGGTTTCAGGACCTGCTGTAGTCCTCACTATCAGGGGCCAGTGAGGTCTCTTAAGACCAAGACCACACTTTGTATCCCCCTGGACTGTTGGGGAGGGGGAGGGAGTTGGACATAGCTTTGAAAGAATGAGCTTTGAACTTCAAAAGCATGTCATAGACTTGTGCAGTATCTAGTGCCTCATACCAGGTTAACCTTTCTTACAGGTTCTGGAACCCAGATTTAACGTTGAAACTATGGCTCAGTTACTGAATATCCCACCAAGTAAGACCTTGTTGAGAAGACACTTGGCCACTCATTTTAACCTTCTGATTGGTGTGGAGGCGCAGCACCAGAAACGCGATGCCATGGAGCTGCCAGATTACGTCCTGCTCACAGCCACTGCCAAAGTGAAGGTTGGCTCAAGCTCCCACTGCTCATAGTTGCCCAAAGCAGAGACTGTGTTTACTGTTCTCTGGTTATCCCATTTTTTGGGTCTTACTGAATTTTGTGAGTGGGTTGAAGGTGTGTGTTTTTCTAGGAATACTTAGAAGGATACATTTTTGAAGGTTTCCTTCTAGGACAGTCTTTGTTCAGATTGTTTAGTTGAGCTAGCCATAGTAAAGAACATGCTCTGGGCTTCTGTGACACACACACTGCTAATCAGAAGTCACACGACTGGGGCCCCAGTGCTGATGGCAGGATTCCTGTTCACCTATGGGTGATCCAGGCATAAGTGTTGCATTTCTATTTGGATAGATTCAACTCATCCGGTTTATAATTGACCAACCTTGCAAGTCAGGAAAATATATTTAACAAACCATTCAAGATAGACCAACTGAGAATGGCTGTTTCCTAATTTACCTGGTTCCTACCAAATTCAGATTACTTTTTCTTCATTCCTTTATCTTCTTGAAACTGTTATCTCTACCAGCTTAATGTAGAGAGGATTAAAAGATATGCCAGATTATCTCTGAGGATTTGGTTCTATTTAAATTCCCAGCATCAGCTGGATCGCCCTCTCCTTAACAGTTGGTCTCAGGGATGGAATTTCTCCCATTTTCCCTGCAAAAGGGCAGAGATTCTCTCAGCACTGACCCGTTTTTGATATAGAAACATAACAGGCACATGAAAGAGAATACAGTCCTAAGAAATCCCATTGCTCTGTGTCCTGTAAATCATTGCTCTTGGCAAATCCTGCTCTTCGCAGTGAGCAGACCCAGCCTGTCAGCATGAGCAAGGAGAGCAGGCTTTGTCTCCAGAGGCTCCTAAGCGGGACCGCTTCTCCTGTCTGGAGGCATCACTAACATGGCGAGGATGTTTTTGTTTCATTACACAAATCTAACCATCCAGTTGCTTGTCACTTCATGATGGAGTGGATCATTTGATTATACGTATTACAGGTCCTTTGTCATAGGAATTTCATTAAAACCCTGGATGTTTTGTTTGTTTTTTTCTTAAAGCCAAAGAAACTTACCTTTAGCAATTTTGGGAATTTGAGAAAGAAGAAGCAGGAAGATGGTGAGGAATATGTTTGTCCGATGGAGCTGGGGCAGGCATCAGGGAGCACCTCTAAGAAAGGTTTTAAGCCTGGCTTGGACATGCACCTCTACGACGAAGATGACTTGGATCGTCTAGAGCAGGTACACGCAGCAGCACCATGGAACTCTCTGAAAGTTCTCCCAACAGTGGCGCACTATGTAGAAAATGTGTTGTACATGTCTACTAGTCAGGGAGGTTTTCTGCAGATCCCTTAAAAATAAAGACAATGAAGTAATCAGCCACACAGATTTCTTACTATCCCACAGGCACTGTGCTACAAGCACTTAACACATACCAATGTTTGTGTTAACTCTTAAGATGCAGGAAGTATTCTTGTCCTTCCTAGAAGCTATGCACAGAGAAGTTAAGTAACTTACCCAAGATTAAACAGCTGGGGCATCCAGCTGCAGTTGTAAGAGGAGATTTTATTATCAGCCCCACTTACATTATTTCTACTTAGACTTTGGCTCCCTGTGCTGCCCTTTCCTTGAAATGATGCCAGTGCCATTATGGTGTGTTCCTTGCAGATGGAAGATTCAGAAGGGACAGTGAGACAGATTGGTGCATTCTCTGAAGGCATCAACAATCTAACAGTAAGTGTGTAAAATTATTTAAAATCGTTAGAAGTGGCTCAAAAGTACTGTGTGTCCAGAGGAGCTTGTGTGATTCTGTGTGTATGTGTGATGTATGTGCACATATGTGTGAACTTCTCCTTGTTTTCCAGCACATGCTGAAGGAGGATGACATGTTTAAAGACTTCGCTGCCCGCTCACCCAGTGCCAGCATCACTGACGAGGACTCAAACGTTTGACAGCAGTGCCTGGATGGGTGTCCTTCTCTGCTTTACTTCTCACGCGCTCATGGAACATATCCAACAAGTCAGAGTGTATATTGCTTAGTGCTCCAACTTCTGCTCGTTTGGAAGTGGAGATGGAAGGCGGAGGCCACACGCCTCTTCTGCAGTTGCCACGAGAGCTGACACTGGTGAACGAGCATCTAACTGCTCTTCTTCTATTTAATGTAAAAACCTGTGATATATTATATTTAAAGTGCTGCATTCAAGATGATTATTTTACCATAGTGTTTGCATTCACCTTCACAGGCCAGGGGTGGGGGGCCGTGAGCCATCAGCGCACAGCCCTATGGGTGCCCAAGCAGGGTGTGTGCTCACACTTGCCACGTGTCTTTGTCCAAGCCTCACCTCTGCTTGCCTCCTGCTGTCCTGTTTTTATATATTTTTCTAAATATATGTATATATCTAGTACATAGAAAAAAATGCAACTTTTATTTTGTGACTTAAGAAAGATGGTAAAATGGCCACATTTAAGAAATCTTTATAATGATTGCATTTTTCCTCTTCCAGCAGCTTCGCAAAGCCCTGGAGGTGGTCTTTGCTTCTCTAAAGCTGAATTTTAACAGTGTTGCTCATCCTGGGCAAATTAATGTCTAGAAAATACCCCTTCTTGGATGGCACAACAGAGTTGTTCAGTAGATTTTTCAGAATGCCCACATTCTTTTACCTCAGAGCAAGATACTCAAGGGGAACCTTTGAAAACTGTTAACTTGAACGCATTCAGAAACGCCCCCAAATTTGTAGGAAATACTTATGAAAAGACAAAATAAAACCCTTTACAGTATTATGCTTGGCTGAATATATCACTGCATCAGTCTCCACACAGTCTGCCTCACCACACATTTCTCAGGCTCTCCAGAATGGGATTTTGTTTTTTTTAAGCTGAATTTGGTCTCAGTCAGGGTTCAGTAACTCTGAGGCTACGAATTGGTCGTATAATGGCTGTGGGGTGATGCTCCAGCATACCTCATGTTTTTCTGTAGTGCAGGACCCAACTTTTCTTTCTAAAGAAAAAAGAAAGCCACAACAGAGACTGTTGCTGTGTTTATTTTTTTTAAAGGTATTGCAAAAAATATTCTATTTTATATTCTACATACCATCATTACTCATGGTGACCAACTGTGGCAAAGACAGGGTTTCACAAGTTGGTGGGGGCTGGGTAGGCCGACAAAGGCCCGTGGATGTGGTTATAAACGCAGTTTGTGATGGTATGCTCTTTCACGTTATCAGCAAGTCACCAAGCTCTTTTTCAAAAAACTTGAAGCAAATCAATTACTATTTTACTCATAACTAAAATGATGTGAGGAGAATAATGATCATTCACTTCCACTCATTACTTAGTAACCATATGGGCCTCCTTCTGTATTTGTGCTTTATTTTAATGTGGACTTATGTCACCATTCAAAGAACAATTTGTTATTCAAACCTGGTTAAATACCCAGAGACTGTTCTAGATGCCAAATACTGTCTTCAGAACAGTTTAAGTAATGATATGTGATAAGGTTAAAAGTTTTTTGATGCTGTATTTTATTTACAAAGTATTATACACTACTGGTATTCCATATGGAAAGGAAATAAAGTTGCCTCACACTTACTGTCTCTTAGTATCTTTTATTCAGAATAACAAGTAGGCTTTATTTCTGATACAGAGGGGAAAAACACAACCTCTTTGCATTTGACAAACTGTCATAAATGTGTTCAGGTGGAGCAGTTCATGTGGATCAACAATTAAATCAACACTGAAGGAAACAGGCACCCAAGCGGGGGAGGGGAAGACCTGGCTGCCAAGACAGATCAGCAGCAATGGAATAAGTGACCTGCCAATTTGAAGATGTTACAGAAAGAAGAGTGCCCTTCTTTAAAGATATGAATGATATTAATTTAACTAAAATTTGAAGAGCAGAAATATATCTTAGAAGAAGTTGCTGCATGAATACTGAGTGAATAGCACCAGCGAGCAGCTGTGTTGTGTGAAAGTCACTATCATACCGCAGCAGCCCCGCCGGGACCTGCGGGAACCAGCACACCCACTTGACAAACAAGCCCCAACTGTTTGCTTAGAAGCGTGAATATATGCCCAGTGGCGCCAGGTAAGCTGTAGAATTACAAAATGGTGAGCACAGGACGGAGGTGACTTTCTGCACGACGTGAACTCAGAAAAAAAAGCAGTTCTGGCAGAGGTTCCTACGTTCGTAGTTTGGGAAGGACTCTGACTGGGTGCAGAGAAAATGGGGCAAAGTACATCTCAGCCATTGGCTCCTAAGGGCAGCAAGGAGTTGGTCAACGTCTGTGAGGTGGTCAGCGGAGCTGTGGTGTATGCAGCGCAGAGGCTGACGGAGTACCTGGGAGTCCAAGACCTTCAGAGCAATCTCCACCCTGCTCTCAACACACTGAATGAGATCTTCCTCATCCACTTTGTGTCTTACTACCAAGCCAAGGGGGCTGGAGAATGCCTCACCACCACCAGGATGAGCGAGCAGCAAGCTTCACTGTTGGGGGCCGACTGGATTTGGACCTTTTGGGGAACTGATAAGCAAATAAGGCTACAGCTGGCGGTCCAGACCCTGCAGCTGGCAGTGCTTCCGCCAGTGGACTCGCAGCCCTCTGACTGCCATCCAGACTCCCAGGCACAGGAACCTTCCAAGGAGAGATGTAGGTTTGATAAGCTGGAAAGCTTCTGCCAGTCAATAGGAGAGGACTGTCTAGGCCTGTTCATCATCTTTGGTGTGCCGGGGAAGCCAACAGACATCAGAGGGGTCGTCTTGGACAGCGTCAGGCAGGATTTGGAGAGGAGCCAGCTGCGTGGAGGGGAGGCTGTGGCTCAGTTTGTCCTGGAGACTAAAGATTATGTCCCCATCCGAGAGCTGCTGGGTAACTGCCTGAGCCAGACAGACAGGCTGAGAGAGGTGGGCAAGGCTTACATCCGCATCCTCTGAATTGGGTATGTGACAAAAGACTGACTTTAAGGTGTAAAGAAAAACAGTTGATGCTGATCAGCAAGTCCCTCTACTTCCACTCTGGAAGTTGTTTTCCTCCCCTAATCCTGTCTCCCATTAAATGGAAATGATCACCTGGATCAGAATATACTAGCCTCATAATTGTGGGTGAGGGGTGGGAGGAGAGTGTTGAGTGAGGAATTACTTTAAGTAAAACCAAGAAGGTGAGGATAATAAAGTCTCCATTTAAGATTGATTTGCAAAGGAAAATATGTGTCTTTGTTCGAAAATGTGAAATGAGATTTTATTGGTGTCAAAACAGCGAGCGGGTGGGAGGTGAGACAGGAGGCCACACACACTGGTGTGGTCACACTGACAATACCAGTTCGGTTCAGAACTCACTGGCAGACCCTGCATGACCCCTTCCCCAGCCCCGCCCTTCCTCTCCACAGAGAGGACACGAGTGCGAGTCTTAACCAGTGTGACTTGCAGTCATCGCTACCACTTCTTTAGCATTTGCAGTAAGGAAAGTATATTCCTGGGTAAAAGCCACTTTGCTCCAAAGCTGGTAGGATTATCACAATACTGTAAGAGAAAAAAAAAAAAAACCATTCTAGAAGGTAGGAGCCAAAAATGATTAAAGCTGTGAGACAGAAAATGATTTAACACATGACAACCAAGGGCCTGGTCCTGCCCCCTGCCCATCCCGCACAAAAGAACAAATCCCTCCTCTGAGAAGTTTACAGCTTACTGGTGGAAGACCTGCAATACACAATATATGTACATGTGCTTTAAATACATTTTTTAAAATACAGATCAGGGATGCTATAAAAAAAATGGCTAAGGGGATAGAGTGAAGGAGGTATAAATTAGGTTGTTTTCAACAAGGGATGAAGCTCAGTGCAATACATCAGATGAGAAAGACAAATACTGGATGATTTTCACTCATGGGCTATGAAAAATGGACAAACAAAATAGAAGATACAGAAAAGAGGAGGAGATCGGAGGGGAAGGGGATGAGAGGGGTGGGTAAAACAGGTGAAAGGTCAGTTACATAGTGAGGGTAGAAACCAAGGTTTTGATGGGGGTCATATGTGGCTAGAAACATGAATTATGGAAGTGCACTCCTGAAACAAATATGCCAGTGTTACTTCAATAACTGTATTTAAAGAAAACGGGTGGTTAAGGGAGGCCTCCCTGTAAGAGGAGCAGTTGGTGAAATACCTGAGTGGAGAAAGAGGGTCAGTGCAGGTATCTGGTTATGAGTGTTCCAGGCATAGCACAAAGGCAAAGTGCCTGAAACAAAAGAGGATCTACTGTGTGTGGCATAGCAAGCGAGGTTGGCGTGAACTGAGCACTTGATGGGCAATTAGGTCAGAGAAATAGCCAGCAGAAAGACCAAGATCATCTTTGCAAGTATGCTAGATTTTATCCAGAGTGATACAGGGGATAGAAATTTTGATGTTTTATCTTTTAGCACTTCACTTGATTACTGGGTGGATGCTAGATTGTAAGGAGGTAAAAAGAAGTGGGGCAGCTTGGAAACTCAGAAATCCAGATGAGGGAAAAGGTGGCCTGGACCAAAGAGGCTGAAGACAAGGGGCGAAGAGGTCTGCTTGGTAAATAGTAGGAGGTGAAAGCATCCAAGCTTTGCTTGATTGAATGCAGGGTATGAAATGGTGCACAAATTCCAAACTTTAATAAGAAAATAAAAAAATACAAGGGAAGAAGTGTGTTTGTCTTTGACACTTTCAGGAAACAAAAAGATGAAGAAAAGCATTTTAATTCTGCCTCGGATAAGTGGCACAGGAGGCATCTCCAGAAGCTAGGCAGTGACTGCTGGAGCTCAGAATGTGCTGGGCAGGCTCTCATACACAGTTCCGTGTGCACGGCATCTGTAACTGCCTGCAGGAATGCTGTGCAGAGTACGCCATCAGGAGGGTGGTGCTCAGTCTAGGAAAGAATTTCCACTTGGAACCCAAAATGAGTTGGCCTCTTTTTATTTGCATAGAAGAACTGGGGTACATGCCAGAGGTGCAGGGTGGGGGCAAGCAGTGAGTCTCACGGGAGACAAAATGGAGAGCAGAACAGGTGAACTGAAATACACTGCTGAGGGGAGCAGTGGGGAGACAGGAGAGGTCTGCTGAGCGATGTAGGTCACCTCCCTGGCCAGGGATTGAGCTCAAGTCTTAGCAGTTATAATGCTGAAACTAAACCCCTACGCCAAACATGGAGTCAGACAACACCATTTGTTTTTTTTTTTTTGTATTGTGAGTGTATTTTTGTGTGTGCAAAAATACATAATAGAAATTAGTGTATTGTAAAATAAAATTTTGCTTGCAAATTAAGGCAAGTACAGTAAAAGCTTACATCTTTAAATGAACACTATATAAAGTACATCTAACAACTATTAAATTATTTTTATTGAAACATCTAAATGATACAACATGAAAAATGATAGCAATATGTTCAAGGCAGACTAGTCTATGGAAATATATTCATTTTGAACAGTATTCAAAACTGTGTTCAAGTTCTCCTGGATAATCATATACTTTCTTTTCTATCTCTTAATTCTAATAGAATATTATACACAATTCCTTTATAAGTTTATTTCAGTAACTTCAAATAAACAACATCTCAAGCAGGACACATATATGTAACATACATTAGCTATTATATGGTATATCTGGTTCTGTAAAAGCTTAATAAAACGTCCACAATCACACAGAAGCTTTCCCGTCTGGATCATCACATTCTGTGGTTTCTGAACTCCCAGCAGAGGAGAGAGCCCCCTCTGCTGGCTCCCTGGGAACGCAGCCTCAAGGGCCTCTCCAGGCCATCACTTCAGAAGGCCCTTTCCGAGCCACTAAACATGGGGTGGGGGGGGTGGGGGGGGAGAAGAGGGAGACATAGGAGGGGCTGTTTTCCATCTTTGAATTTCAGTTTTTAAAGTGTGCCAGACCCGGGGGATTGGCTACTGTTGATGTAAGTCAATGAAAAGACCGCTCAGGTTTAAGAGCTTCATTGTATCCTCTTATGTGATCTCTGTGTGTCCAATTGGCCTGGACGCAGGTGCCCCCACACATGTGCCCCCTCCAGGTCTCCTCCTGGCTCTCCATCCTGTTCCTACCCCAGTCTCCTTCCAGCTCTCTTCCCTGCTCAACTCCACCCCACCTTGTGGGGTGATGTCAGGAACCTGGAGCCTCCCCCTTTCCTGAGGACCACCCTGTTACAACACCAAATGTGAGAGTAAGCAAGTGTGGATTTATTGAAGCAAGAGGAAAGAACTCCTGACAGCAGGAGGGGGGCCCTGGGAGGACGCTGCTTTACTCCAGTCTTACTCCAGCCCTGTCTGTGACTGTAGGCTCAGACATTCTGTTGTCTAATGTGCCAGACTATTGATTAGGCACTAGGCAGGTGGTCAGGAATTTTCAGGGTGTTTGTTTTTCTGTTCCCTAATTATCCTGTAACCAGATCTTACTCTAAGTAGTGGCTAGCTTAGCAACATTTCAGTAAAACACTTCTATTTTCCTAGGAACTGTTTTTTTTTTCCTTCTCTTCCTATATTTTTTTTAAATCACTGTCCTGTGTCTTAGCCTCTTCTGTTCCCCAACTTCTCCTTGTCTCAGTACCTCTCAAAACTGTCTGAGTAAGCAAACTAATAACAATAAAAAATAACTAGTATGAAATGCACACACGAACACACAGACATATACAGACACATACACAATCACAATTGCACAATTCAGAAATTCTGCAATGGCCCTCAACTCTGCATCCTCGCCTTCAGGTTTGTGCTCCTGACATCCACTAAGGCAGTCTATTACCTGCCTGGGTCTTGAGCTTTGTGACCTAGGCATTGGCGCCTATAGCTGGGTTAATGGCTATCCCTCCTACCCCCACCTCCAGTTCCCAACACTGTGTGAGCCAGGTTCCTGGCCTTGTGACACCTCCTGTCCAGTTTTTCTATCCTTATCCTCCAGCAAGATCAGTGAGGCCATCACTATGCTTAGCGACCCCATTTCCAAGGACATGCAAACCAAAAACTACCTCAGGAACCTGGGAGAGGGCACCTACACCCAAGGTGAAGCTCTCCCGGCACATGCTCACAGCACTAAGGTGGCCATAAAGGTCATCCAGACATCGCAGCAGGCACCTGGCCAGGGAGGGGGTGCATGAAGGTGCTGAGCCACCACAACTTCCAGGTACTGGACAACGGAGAGCTCATCCTGGTGATGGAGTACAGGGGAGGCCGGGACTTGCAAGGATACCTGCAGGGCTGTGGGTGCCTGACTGAGCAAGGCCCAGGACAAGTTCCAGCAAGTAGAGTTTCTACTCCAAGCTACTGTCACCGCACTGGGATTGTGCACCAGGCCTAGAGCCCAAGAAACTCTTAGTAGACAGTGATCAGAACATCAAGCAGGCAGACTTCTGCTTGAGCCATGCAGTACTCAAATCCGCTTCTTACTTGCGTTGAGATATTAGATAAGCTTATTAAAATTTGTTGATTTTGATACTCCCTGTATAAAATGGAGTTAGCCACAAAGCAATGGTCTTTTCTTACATTACATCTGCTAATTTACCTAATTTATTCTGTTTTGCGGAACAACAGACCAGAGTAATACTTTTTTTGAAGATTTATTTATTTATACATACAGAACTGGGACACAGGCCAGAGAGGCAGGAGTGGTGAGAGGATTTACCAGAGACAGAGTGGGGAGCAGAACAGGCAGATCGACGAAGCACATTGCTGAGTGGAGCAGCAGGCGGGTCAGGAGAGGTCTGCCAGGCCATGTGGGTTACCTTCCTGGCAGGGGATCAAACTTGCTGCTGAGGCAGGCAGCTAGCTTTATGGTGCTGTGCTTTAACCCATAGGGCCACCAGGGAGGGCCCAGAATAATAATTATAATGTGGCATAAATCCATGTTTCCAGGTTAAGAGCCTCCCCAGGGAGTTGCAGAGTGTGCAGTTTCTAAGGTTATTTTCCACTGCTTTGCCTC